TTCTTTAAGAATTTTCATGAGTGCAACATCTCGAGCAGGTTTAGTTTTATAATTTGAAATTCTAATATTATATGAACATTCGTGCTCTAAATACTCCTGTACGAATTTATACGTGATATTTTTTATAGGATAGGGTGACAAACGAGCACACAGTCCACCTGATGGTAAGTGGTTGCTGTAGCCCATAGAAATCTACATCTATCCTCGATTACGAATCAAAATGCAGATGCGTTGTCACCCGTGAGGACTAAGATGGAATGCCTCGTTTCCAGTAAAATGGGTCTCCGATTCTCTACACTTACCATACGAAACCCAGCAGTATTAAGCTACTATTTGACGCTGGTATTCTGTGAGAGCGTGGTCCTTCCCCGGTTGAGCCGACCCATTCGTGCTACAACTATACTACTAATATAACTGCAGCATGGCTCTACCACGTATAATCTACCGTCTATTTCGTTATTAAAACTCAATATAAAACGTATAAATATTCAATAAACAGTACCGTACAAACTTTGTGGCGAATTTAATTATAAAAGTACAATTATAAGTTTTGGCGCACAAACGTTGCGTCCTGTCAACTCGCTCGTTCACATGAACGGCGAGTTTAGTTGCGGGTGGCGGGAGACGCGTGGAAGGGCAACACTTCGCACTTAGCTCGTTGAAAAATCTCCCGGCCGGCTATCTCGTTCAATTTAATTGTTGACTTGCTACTTAACTCGGTTATTGCCGTTCAAACGAGATTTTCAACTTAACTCGCCAGGTTCGCAAATTAACTCGCTACTGTACTTGTCGCATTGTAAATCGGTCTTTAGAGACAGATTTCTGGCAAATACTTTAGAGCAATAGTTCCTCTCAATCAATATAAGCTATGGGTATTGGTTCTGCGTAAGTCTCGTAGCATGCGTTTTGATGTTTGTCTGTTTAGTTACTTGTACACTGACATATTTATTTATTAATTTTTATCTACTTATTTAATTATTCTTTATTGCATTCCTTATCCCAGAATAATATAAAAGACGGACTTAATGGAACTAAATATTTTACCAGTCTGCACTCCTGTTGTTGTATTTCCCAGCAAACAGCCGCGTGTCTTGTATATTTATAATATTTTTTCCTATTACGTTCTTATGTGCGGAACAAATGCCAAATCGCACGTTATTTTACCACAATATTCCACTCAATTGACTTTAATTTGTTTTCCTAATTATAAGATTGATTTTTATTTATACTTTATTTTTTGTTGTAATTATTAATACCTAGAACCTTATTTATTCTAAGTTTTCATTTCACTATCGGGGCTGCTGTTTTTGTTTTTAATTAACTTCTGCAATCGTTGGTAAAATCATTGGTATTCTTTGATAGAGTACATAACTAAATAACTTTTCAAAATACATTTCATACTGTCTGTTTTTATTCGGATCAAAAATCAAGTGCTGGAGTAAATCATCTTAGGAAATAAAGGCAGTGGTTGGTGATCTTTCTCAAAGTTTACTCATTCACTTGCCTATATATATATATATATGTTTTCTATGCTAATAATTATATAACGTTGCGACGTTTGCAGACATTCATCTTAAGTACTTAATAACTCCAGTGCTAATCTTGTTCAACGACAACTTATATATTTTGTTCTTTCCCGTAGTAATCGCTTCATTACAACCTACAGTTATACTGTCATGAATTTTAAGAATGATTTTCGCAACTTTTGTCGTAGTGTTCCGATGATAATAATGATGATGAATGTAGGAACATAGCTAAGTATATCTGAGGCTACGAATTAAATTTTAGTGTTAGTTTAGTTATGAAACAATATAACTTTGCAAAAGCCAGACCCCTTCGAAATTTGATTCGAAGTCTTTTAAAATATTGAAAACCATAGCAAGTGCACGATTGAATGGTGGTTCTAATTAGATTTATCAGAAAGAAAGTTTTCAGCCGTCCGCTGATAGATGGCACTCGTTATCGCACTCAACAAGAACACTTTTTCTTGATAGCTTGTCCTTCTTATTTACGTATTGTGTGGTAAAAAGTACTAAAAGTCTTGCGTAAGTCATAAATAAAAGAACAACAAAAACCAGATGTAAACTGATATATTTCCAGCTTTCGATAGTATTATTTATTACATTTTAAACACATTTTAACACATAATTTGTTCCAACCATTTTTGACAACATAAAGACATGTAACATAAGGGTCTAATGTTTTTAAGTGCTGGTTGAAAGCCATCACGGCCTCTTCTGGCTCCGTAAATATCAAACCTCCTGTCAAATCTTTGATTTTTGGTTAAATAAATATATTGCATGGTGCTAGATATGGAATGTGTGCGGTATGGGTCACGAGTTCTAACTTTACAGAAACAAGATATTTTTTTTATTCAAGGTGAACACCGAAGTCCTCACTTTTTCATAGACTGTGCAAACAAATGGTGGTGGATCACTCAGCACCAACTGTCATTTGCTCATTTAGTATCTTTATCTTTATTCTGTGATGTTATTGCTGTTAGCCTTTTTGACTTTTACAGCTTCATCTGATACATGACTGTTTAATTTGCTCATCTAGTGGGATCGCGCAGTCAAGCCCCGTCTGATAGAAAAAAAAACAATTATTTTTTGCTCGGGTCTCTTGCCTGCTTCGGTGTTGTTGGTTTGCTGTCGTCTTCGACGACACGCACAAAAGACTGTTACATAATTATACAGTATATATAGATATTACATTACAAAAATAAGAAGAAACAAATATGAAGTTATACGTTAATAAACATTTATATTTTCTAATTGTCTGAATTGTTTAATATATACGCAGAGATATTTCAAATAATTCCTTTATTTTCGGATATATATTGATATAAAAAAATGAAAAGTAAAAATGATGAACCGAACTACTTTTAAATTTCGGGTTCGGTTGTTATAGAAAACATTTAACAGAAAGAAGAAGGTTTCTCATACTACATTTAAACGTCCCGATGATCTTTATTACTATTTAATTGCAATAATGAATTAAAACTAATCTAATACAATTATTATATTAATTATATTAATGAATTTAATTCTACATATGTGCTATAGATTTTATAATGTAGTCAAAACAAAGGTATATTTACTGACTAACACCTAACTTTGACTAGCAATAACAATTACTTTGTTCATTACGCTTCATAACATTAAGTAGTTGAAGTCAGCGACTTTATACTTTATAACGTGTTTACGAGTTATCTAATATCAGAAGCTTAATCATTAAAATTAGGATAATTTTTTTATGATAATATTACGATTAATTCAAAAAACAATTCATTAATAAATTTTCTAAAAAAAATTTTTATCTAAACTTTGTAATTAAAAATTTGCAAAGTTTAGACCGATGATACCTAAACGCCAGTCTGAGCGAGATTAGAATGGCTCTCCAGCACCTAAAAACGGCAAGGCCCCGGGCGAGGAAGGAATTACAGCGGAGTTTCAGAAAGGAGGTGGAAAACCAATACTTAAAGTCCTTCAGAAACTCTTCAACTCCGTCCTCCATGGTAGCACTATTCCGGAGGCGTGGAGCAGAAGTGCAGTGGTCTTGCTTTTTAAGAAAGGTCACAAGGCTCTCTTGAAGAACTCCGGACAGATTTCTCTCCTGAGCCGCGTCTATGTGCTGTTTTCGAAGGTCTATCATCTAGCACGTAGACTCGACGACTTCCAATCAAACCGGTTTCCGAAAAGGCTATAGTACCATAGACGACTTTGGCTAATTGTATATAAGACCTAAGAGTACAATTTACTCCACTTTTCCTGGCTGAAGTGAGCTCAGTCTCGTTGCATGTGAAATCGTTGAAAACTTCGCAATTCATATGTAAATATCTGTTGGTCTTGGTATGCATTCACTTCACTTTTCCTAGCGTACGTGGATATAGCCCACGTACCCTAGGAAAAGTGGTAATACGTTGACTATAAGAAAGCCTTTGATTCCTTTGAAATTTGGGCGGTCCTTCAATCCTTTCAAGTGCGCCAAATTGACAGTTGGTATATTGAAGTGCTGAAGTGTTGGTACAGTAGGAATATGATGTCTATCCGAGCACAGAACCAGAGTACGAAACCCATCCAACTGCAAAGAGGTGTACGAAAGAATGACGTTATATTCCCGTAACTCTTCACACAGCTGCATTGAAAAGTATACAATATTAAAATCGATGGCGAGTACATCACTCTCCTTCGATTTGCCGTCGATATAGTCCTTATGGCAAAATAGCTGGAGAACCTACGCTAAGTTGTTGGGACTAAGTTGGCACTAAGCTCAAAGTTGTTGACGAGTATGTTTACTGAAACAAATAGCCCAACTAGTTAAGTTCAACTTCAACTAAGAGGTCAATAGATGGATTCAATTCGACTCGGCAGCGTTCTTGAGATCAATTCTTGAGAAACATCTTCTCGTCAGTTATACCTCTAAACTTGAAAACAATATTGCACGACCAGTGTGTATTGCCCGTGATGACTCATGGGTTTGAGTTGTGGTCCTGGTCCTTCACTGCTGGCGTTATGAGGAAGCTCAAGGTCGCTTAGCAAGCTATGAAGGGTGCTATGCTCGTCCCTAATAGACTTAAAAATGACGATATCCGTAGTGGAACCAGAATAACTCAAATAGTTCAACGGATTAGCAAGCTAAAGTGGTAATTGACCAGCCATTAGCTCGAAGAACCGACAGCCGATTTGGAAAAAAGGTTCTTGAGTGGCAGCCTCGTACAATAGATGAAGCGGGCTTTCAATAGATGGTGTGACGGCCTGGTAAAACGTGCAGAGGAAGTCGATAGATGCAAGTGGCTCAAGACTGTGTTTTGTGGCATTGTATGGGTGAGACCTATGTTAGCAGTGGATTGTAAAGATGTGTATCTACGATGTAAGATATAAGATGTGTACACAATGTGTACAATGTGTACAAAATTTATATATCATATCCTATTATGTAAAATGTTATTTCTTTCGTTTAATTGTAAACGGCAGATTAATGAGTTCTGTAATTCACAGATCGGTACCAGTGCCTGTGCTCGCGCTCTGAGTGCATGCTTTGATTCTCTCTGCGATGGAGCAATCGCCCGCTACCTAGCATCCGGAATTGGGACAATATTTGGTAAGCCGTATTTAGTAAGTGTAAGAAGCCGTGCTGCAGCTATATTGTGGTTGTAGCGAGAATGGGTTGCCTCGATCAGGGTAGGACCACGCTCTCATAGAATACCAGCGTAAAACACCAGCATGCTGCTGTGTTTCGTATGGTGAGTGTAGAGAACCGGAGACCCTTTTTACTGGAAACGAGGCATTCCATCTTAGTTCTCACGGGTGACAACGCATCTGTATTTTTATTCGTAATCGAAAGAAGATGCAACCACTTACCATCGAGTGGTCTGTGTGCTCATTTGTCATCCTTATCCTATCAATAAATAAAAAATAAAATTGCATCTTTTTTGGTATAACAGAAAGAAAGATCAATGGAGTATGAAAATTATAAAAAATCACATTTTTTCGTTCTGTACTTTTTTAGGCAATAACTAATGCATCTTGCATTGGTGTTTCAATTTATTTTGTCCCACCATATTCTTACACACGGTGGCAATAACATAAACATTCAGATTTTGTTATTATGGACACAACAGCAAAATTGATATTTATATAATTTTAATTATATCTAAATAATTGATAAAATCGTCGTCAAAAAATAAGTAAGTAAAATAACTAATTTTCACATCCTAATAGCTTCTAAAGTTAATGCTTAGAGATAGTGTATCGAAGAATTACGTTATTGGTTTCACTTCAATATTGAAAGTTTAATTGTTTTATCATTTTGAGTTGTCTAGGGAATATTACATGTTCAAGGTAACAACTAAATGTCGTTTAAATATTAGAATTTATTCACTGCCTATTTTTTACCCTTTGGGGTGGATTTTTTATTTATATTTAAGGGATGGTTCTTGAAATATAACCTATATCTACAATAAAAGAAGAATAATTTAATTCGGTTAGGCAGTTTCCGAGAAATCGATGAACATACATTATCAAACATACGTGGCGAATATTGTAGAACTCCGTTAAAAATAATAACAATTGCGTTATAATGGCCAACTGAGTGCACTGCACTGTCTCTCAAAGACACTTAGATCTGAGGTTAGGAAAAATATACCCCTGAAGAGTGGCCATCGGCGATACCACCAGACTCGCAAGGGATTGGACATCCGGTACCTTGCTTAGCCGCGACTCAACCTCAGCTGCGGAGGTTAAAGTGACAGAGCAAACCTCCTGCCACAGTCCACCAATACGCATCCAGAGTGGGCACACTAAGCACACTCGTAGCGGTCTTCTCGGGTCGGCCACAATAATGTGGGTTCCTTTAATTTTAATGTAGATGGCTAAAATACGATGATTATTTAAAATTTAAAAACTTTTTGTTAAATTATTGCTTGATTAAATCTTTAAAATGAACATCAAAATCTACGGTGGTTCGCATAAACAAAACCTGCTTATAGAAGAAGCGGCAAGCAATACTGGGGTCGTCTTTTAAAACTGTGATACAATTTCATTTACAATTACAACCTCTAATAAAATAGAAAAAAGATCTCTAAATATTTTTAAGATATAAATAATATGCCATAAAAACATAACTTGTAAAAAAAACCAAGTCTCGCAACTCAGTTCTTCTACCATAAAAAGTTGTCAGATCCATGTAAATACCAAGTCGGTTAATTTATTCAGTCCCTGCTTAAGGGTCCTTCTGTTTTAAGGTATTACGTAATTAGCTAACCCAACAACATTTTATAGTGGCCATATGAATGTTAAAAATCTTTTATGTTTTAAATATATAGATTGACTTGGCCATCGCATGAAAACACAATGTATCTCACAAGTAATACATATTATATTAAATTAGATCGCATAGTGCGATTGCCAAGTCAATCTATTATTTAAAATATAAAAGATTTTTAGCATTGATATAGTCGCTATAAAATGTTGTTAGGTTAGCTAATTACGTAATAACTTAAAACAGAAGGACCCTTAAGTAGGGACTGAATAAATTAACCGACTTGGTATTTACATGGATCTCACAACTTTTTATGGTAGAAGAACTGAGTTGCTAGACTTGGTTTTTTTACAAGTTATGTTTTTGATGGCATCTCACATCTTTTTGTAGATAAGATAGTCCTACTTTTTTATCTTTCCGGTACCTTCTACTTCTTGAATACCAACAACGTACCTATCTACACCTATACAACACATATACAAGTACACTAATTCATTCACTGCAAATGTAACTTTGTAATTCTATACATTTATATGATATTACAAAGTTATTTATGCAATTGGTGTATCTAGAAAACTGGACCAAAATTAAAAAAAATTTTCGTTTTTCCTTGATTTAAATACCAAACTATATATTCTAAATTTGAAGCTTCTATGTCTGCTAGAAGTGCCTTAGGGTTTTGATGATCGGTCAGTCAGTGAGTGACAAAATTAAGAAACTTTCACCAGTTATTACTCTTCAACTACTGGTTCAAATTGAATGAAATTTGAAATATACTATGTTTATACAATGTCTACTTGGTTACTGAAAATTCAGGCTTTTAATTTTATCCACTACGAAGTAATAGGGGGCCGAAAATGACCTGAATTGCTTCGAGAAAAGTATAGTACGGCCGTGCCGCTTTTTTGCTCGACTTGGCGGGGGCACTGCCGTGCCCCCAGATCAGTAGTCGTTTGTAATTACCGGGTAGAGCCTACTTAGCGAGTAGACCTATGTCATTCTTTATTTAAAAGAACAGCTACAAACAAATATCACTGCGTTTTCACTTCAAAGAGAATGTCCATGAGAGGGTTTGTAACAGGTTTTTGGAAGAAAACATCGTTTTTACTAAGCAGTTATGTCACTTTATCACACAATGAAAACGTTAACGGTATTAAAAGAGGATATACTTGGTTTTTAAACCGAATTATTGTTTATTAAATAATATTAACTAATAGTTTTACCTTTACTAATATGTATTCCTTTTACCACTCCAACTTAAAAACTTGTTCAAGAAGTATTTCATAACTAGTTGCTTGTTTGTTTTGGATTTGACCACACTACTATTTGTAGTGTGGTCAACAATACTAGTGGTTTGCCGCTAGTATTTGAAATCGCCATCAGGCTATTGTTATTAATATTTTTTTTTATTTATTTATTTATTAATTTATTTCAATCAACAAGGATCATAGGGTAAAATAACATACATTAACATTTATTCTAATACTAAAATTATAAATCATTACTAATATTAATTATATCAAATGCGTAAGTATTTATAATAATATCGAAAATAAAATAATAACTTAATAATAATAAAATAACATAAATCTATTTCACCGTTACACATACATCATATCCGATTTAATTATATATTAACAAAACCACCAACAAAACTTACCATAATGATATAATACAATATTATTTTTAAAAATACAAAGAAAAAGTCTTAAATATATGTAAGTAAAATTAGGTAATAAATTAGTTCATATACCTGAAGTGCCGGTCCGAGGTAATGGGTACATGGACATGAACCCAGTGCCTCAAAAAAGCACACTCGGGTTTCTCACTAATTACGTTAAGAATGCTGTTGGCGCTCCCACGAACCCTGTGCATCAGAGACGCAGTTCTTTTGCGAATAAGTGTTGAAAAATTGTCTACGTGGGCGTCAACAAACATACCTGATGCACTACAGTAACGTGGGAGCCCCTGCAACAATCTAAAAGCGTTATTATATTGTGTACGTAGGGTGTTGTATGCCCGCCGCGTATATCTGAGACCCATAAGGCACACGTATAGAGGGATTGGCAATAGGCCTTAAATAAAATAACTTTTACTTCGGCTGTACAGCGTGAGAACCGACGGGCCAGCATATTGCAGCGGACAGCCAGCGCTCTCCTTTCTCTTTCAATGTCCTTTATCATCTTTTAAATCTTCAGTAACAACATGGCCTAGGTACTTAAATTCAGTTACTCGTTTAAGTGCAACACCCCCTAAAGTTACAGGTGTTACAAAATTCGGTTTCTTCGTGCCCACCTTAAACACCATGAGCTCACTCTTCGCAACATTATATTTTAGACCGTGGGCTTCTGCATAAACCTCACATATGAACAAAAGCCGTCTGAGTGCACAGACTGACGGGCTCAGAAGCACCATGTCGTCTGCGTAACTGATGTTGTTCATGCAGAGTCCATCAATAGAGCAGCCGACACGTGCACTCCCGAGTCTATCAATCAGTTCATTTATATATAAATTAAAAAGCGTAGGTGAGGTTAATCCCCCTTGTCTCACACCGCATTCTAACCTATACTCGTCCGACAGTGTCACAGTGCACTAGACCACCTTACCTGATTAATTTGATGATCGTACCAATAGCTAAAAATACTAATGTACGAGACGGGTAGACCAGCCTTTCGCAATTTATCCCACAAAATGTCATACCTGACAAGGTCGAAAGCCTTTGAAAGATCCAGGAAGGCTGCGTACACTGGCGTATTCCTTACAGTGTAATACCCCACAGTATGTTTCAGCGACAGTATTGCACACTCAGTTGATAGATTTGATCTAAAATCAAATTGTGCATCGTTTAACTTAATATGTACTTTTAACTGTCTCTCAAGCATACTGTCAAGTATCTTAGCCGCAGTTGTCGCTAATGAAATGGGCCGATAGTTGCACATATCTGAAATATCACCAGTTTTGTTTTTCAAAATCGGAACCACGATCGTTCTCATCAGCTCTTCCGGCAAATACGAGTGCCTCATACATAGGGTGAAAAAGAGCGCCAGTAGTCTAGGTAAGTGCGGACCAGCGAACTGAAAGTGCTCGATGCTAAGGCAATCGTGACCAGGTGACTTTCCTCCAGTCATGCCATTTATCAAAACAGCGATGTCCCTGGCGGTGATGCGATCGGGCACATGAGTTGATGCACCAGTGTGGTGATGAACCTCAGCATCGACTTTAACAGGTGACTATAAAGAAGACTGAATCCGGAACTTACTCTTAAAAAGATTGGCTATCTTCGCCGGTTCATTTACACCCCCAACGCTCACCGGGGTACCTGCTCTAGGACTCAACTGCTT